CCTACGGCCAACTCTGGGTGCCAGCTCTGCTTACCCACATTTGCCAAGGGGAACGTTTACGAAGGTGGGGGAATGAGGTGACTGAAGCTTAAGCCAGGCTCTGGGCCCATTATCTTGATGTGTGTTTCTGGCAGCAGCACGTTCTCTGCTGTGGAGGTAATCACAGCACAATTAGTAGGGGCTGTGGCAGATCTTTAGCTTTTAGACCAAGGGCTTGATTGACCTTCTCTTGGCCCAGATACCTCCAGAGGAGCCCAGATCAGTTCGCTTGGCCTGCTCTCGGATTATGAAAGTGAAAGTTGTCGGCGACGGGAAACACGACTGCTTTCTAGAATGTGGTTCTAACCTCTGAAATCCAGCTGTGAGGATTCATTCCATTCAGACGCGGCGTGGGGTTTCCTGAAGTCATTTCCTCTGTCGGTGCTCTTTGGGCATCCGTGTGACCCAGAGAGCATGGGAAGTCTGCTGAAGTCCTTTGTGGGTTTGGGTAGTGAACTCGAGAGTTCTGCTCTTTCGTGTCTCTTCTCATGTACTGAACGCACTTGTTAGGTCCTGGCCTGTTAGCATCCACTGGAAGACTTGTTTGCTAGTTATGCAGGAGGGATAATTTTTTCCACTTCCCTAATATATTAAACTCACAAAGAAAAACTTACAGGCTTTGATGACTTCACTTATTTTCTTTATTCAAGACCAAAAAATTGGCAAATAAGTGTTCTGAGAGATGGTGTTTATAGTTCATTGCATGTGACGCTTCCTTTGCTATATCCATGCTGACGTACATGTACTGATAGTTACTCTTGCACTTTTGCTCTGTCTTGTGTAAAAGGGCATAGATGTCTCCTAGCGTTTTTAATTGTAATATAATCAAACATGGATTCTTCCATTATAGCTCCTGTGTAAGTCTCGTACTAAAATGACAGCAGTTGAGTGATTACTTTGCTTTTAAGGTCTTCCATCAGTTTCGAAATCCATGGTGGCTTAAACACGATCTGCAAATACACAAGTATCTTTCAGTTAGAGGATATTTGCTTAGGCAAGAGGCTCTTCCTTTATTGATTCTGTAACTGCCCGGATCATTTTGATTGCCAATACTGTTAATCGCATCACTTCCCTCTTCACAAGCCTACAGTGCCTTCTCTCCCAGACCTCGGTCTTCTAACTTTCCATTTATGCATCCTAACTTAAATCATCTTGGTTAGTGGAAAAAAATTACTACTCATTCCTAAAGTTAAACTAATTATTTAAAATGGTGGCCTTCCACAAATATTGTTTCCATATTCAAATTGTTCTCTTATATTCTCTGAAGGTAATATATCATTCTCTAGGATTTTTTTGTTTGTTTGTTTGTATGAGGAGATTGGCCCATGTTCATAATGCTGAACCTTCATAGACAAACCAGTTTGTCAACACATGGTTAAGTACAATTTGGGAATCTCAAGAAAAAAAAAAACTTAATAACTAGAGGGTAGATGACAACCTTCATGGCTGGCAGAATTTCCATGTATCTAAAGAAATAACCTCTAGACAGAGGAAATACAAAGACATTTAGGTCTCAAAGCCCCCAGTTCTTACGGGGAATTACAAAGGGATAAAAAAGGCTTCTCTGCCTCCTGACATCTGACTCTTTACATGCAGCTCTCCGTTACTGAACTAGAGCTAGACTGCTAGAACCAAGCCTTGTGTGTCCTTTGGAAAATCAGCTCAGATGTTACTGCTGCTGCATCTGGACGAATTATTTTTGGAGCAGAATAATATAATAGTTCTAGAGTCAGAGTGCCTACATTTGAATCCCAGATACTTGTAGGTAACATATGCAAGGCAGAATTTTAAACTACACAAACACACACACAAACACACACATACACACACACATATGTTTGTATTTGAGCCTTATGACAACTCTTTTAAGTAGATACTTGTATTATTCCCATTTTACAGGTGAGGAAGCTGAGGCATAGAAAGGTTAAAAGGTTAAACAACTTGTCCAGGATCACACAGAAAGTATTGGAGCTAGAATCCAAATCAGACAGCCTGGCTCCACTCTGCGCGTCTCCCTCTCAAGGTCAACCACTTAGCAGCTGTGTGGCTTTGGGCAAGGTCCTTGACCTCTCTGTGCCTCATTTGCTAAATGGAGATAATTGTAGATCACTAAAGTGTAACAAACTTGTAGAGCCATTAAAAGAATAAACAAAGATAACTCCTGTCATTTTCTCAGCACAGCCCCAGGCACATAGTAAATGCTCAACAAAGACCATGTATTATTTATAATACTGTCTTCTTGGTGAGGGCAGGGACCTTATTTTATTCATTTCATTTATCCATGTATGCTGATAAGTCACTTAACCTTGCTAGACTTCATTTCGTTATCTGTAAAATGGGATAATAGAATATCAATATCTCATGGTTATTTTGGCACAAAGAAGACACTCAAAGAATACTGATAAATTAATGGAATATCTTTATGTAGTACCTAACACAGTTCCACATAAAAATTGGTACTGCAGTAAACACTTCTTGAGTATAGCCATCCATAATTGTAAAAATGATAATATTGTCTCCTCCTCATTTCTTGGGATCTATGAGGATAAATGAGACACTCTCTAAGAGATATTGTTAGGAGGAAGGTGCTTTATAAATCTAAGGGGTTGCTATTAATGATGATGATGATTGTAACAAATTTGGTATTGGAGAAATCACAAAAAATCACTCCAATGTGTAGGCTAGGCATCATGAAAATAAGACATTAGGCCACATTTTGTCAGTGAATGGCCAGAATATTTATTTACAAACTCAGATATGAAGACTGGCCATTTTCTAAACATCTTCTGTAAATAAAGTATTGTACTAGGAGCTTTGCATACATGACCTTGCTTAAACTTCAACCCAAGGTAGGTAGTCTTATCATCATTCTACAGATGGAAGTGAAATAGAGTTTTAAAAAGAAAGAAAGAGAGACAAAGAGATAGAGACAAAGAGGGAGAGATGGGGAGGGAGAGAGAAAGAGAAATAGAGAGTGTGTGTACTAATGCTTATGTCACAATCACCTGGATGATCAGAGCTGAAGCTGGAATTTAACCCCAAATATGTATCACTCCATCTTGCCTCTCTGGAGAGAAACAGAAAAGTAAAAACGTCACTTAGCCTCCAACATGGCTAAGACCCAGCAATGCCTTTGGAAAATAGTCTGTGAGACCCGCTAACTCAGGTCCTGACTTGCTGGCTTTTGCACTCAGGATGCCTGTGTTTGTGAAGGCGAGACCAAAATAGCTCTGTCCCTTCTCCAGGAGAAATTCCAGTTATAACCCAATGTAGGGAAAACAAATTGTCCACTTAGGCTGGTGTGATACATAAAATAGCCACCATTCAACTGTTGCTTAACTTGAACAAAGTTTATGGGCTAAGGTGTTAGGAAGATAAAATTTATCTGGAACTCTAAAAATAAACTGAGGAGACCATATCAAAGAGTCACTGTGCTGATGACGTCAGTAGACATCAGGAAGGAAGGGGTAGACGTGGAGGTGCTGATGGGAGCCAGAGGCACACCAGAAGAAAGAGGGGACCAATAAAGAAAAACGTTGCTGCTTTGTGGAAATTATTTTCACTTGCAGAGTGTAAAACACTTAATATTTGAAGAAAACAGTGTTAGCACAATGACTGAAGGCACTCAGTAAAAGAGCATAGAGTTTTTTATCTGTTAGACCCGTGTGTGTGTGTGTGGTTCTTTTTTTATTGAAGTATAGTTGGTTTACAATGTTGTGTTAGTTTCAGGTGTACAGTAAAGTGATTCAGTTATCCATATACTATATATATTCTTTTTCAGATTCTTTTCCCTTATAGTTTATTACAAGATACTGAATATAGTTCCCTGTGCTATACAGTAGGTCCTTGTTGTTTATCTATTTTATATATAGTAGTGTGTATTTGTTAATGCCAAACTCCTAATTTATCCCTCCTCCCACCCCTTTCACCTTCAGTAACCATAGTTTGTTTTCTATGTCTGAGACTCTATTTCTGGTTTGTAAATAAGTTCGTTTGTGACCTATGTGTTAATTAGAGATTTACCATTAACACTTTATAAGACTATAGGAAAGCTCTTCAAATCCTTTGAAATTGGGACAACCCCACCTGTTAGGGTTATGAATATCTATACTAATTTTATGAGTGTCTATATAATATGTGTTCAATAAATGTCTTTTCCATTTCATTAACCACACAGTAGTGTCATAAGTCCTTGCTTTGTTTTCTAGGGTATAATTTTTTTATGTTGGCTTTGAGTCACCAAGGTTTTATAAAAGTGCCACAATCAAGTGCCAGATTTAGTTTCTTCCTTTGTCTTCTATGTGAAGTTCTCCTAATGTCTCAATGACCAAGTTCAAGTATGAGATCTAAGTTCTTTGAGAAAAGTAAGCAGTTTATGTGCTCTGTGTATTCTCCTGAGGAGTCATGAGTCTTCAGAACAGATGTGCAGATTTTGTGTTCAATATTACAGGCTTACGAATACTTAGCTTTCTAATCTATTGGCAGGTCATTTAGGCATTTTGAACAGAACTTAAACAATCACTGTTAATTAAGGATATTAGAAGATCGTAAAACATTATTACCACATTTAGGAGCTGTTGAACTAGGTTATTTCAAATCGAGATTCACATTAAGAATCAGTGGATTCTGTGGTTAGGATAACATTTGTTATCATTATAACCACCCCAAAGAGCAAAGTAAATAAATCTTGATGAACCAAGGTAAATGGTGGCATCAAGGTAGAATGAAGGGGAAAAGTGAGAGTTAATCCCAAATGGATTTTAAAACAAAATGAAAGTCAACTCTCTGTCATCTTGGGTTATCTGGCTTCATTCTTGCTATGAGAACTTGACTGGGTAATAAAGCTGGTTAGAACTGATTTGTGTTGATGGTGAGAAGAACCAAGCCTCTGGGCTGGGCTGATAGGGGAGATGGATGAGGAACCTCTTCTCATCTCCTCCTCCTCTACATCTGTTTTACAGGAGCATCTGCAGGGATGGTTTGGAACATTTCAGGCTGCTTAGATAATGACAGTCAGTGCTGGCGTCAATCATTAGATGATGTTGGAAGGTAAGTTCTCTTAAGTTTTTACTACTGTTATTCACACACCGTTTAGTATGATTACTTAAGGGCTCACTACCTCTTCCAAATGTAAAGCAGACCATAGTTTTTATGGAGAGCTTGCTGGGACAAAAATACAGCTCAAATAATGGCATGCATATCATTTTCACATACAACTCAAACACCACTTGGAAATCTTAGTTTCCTTTGCCCACCCACAGAGAATGTGTGCTGGGAAGATGAGTTTATAACTCTCATGATAGAAGAACTTGGTGGAAGGGCTGGCATTCAGAGGTTCAGTAGACTTCATCTCGTTGTCAGGGAAAATTGCTATTCAAGGACAGCTATGAAAAAGAACTGTGTCAAAAGGTTTCTGAAAGGGCAGTCAAATTGCTGATGAAAGCGGATGAAGCTGTGAAAGAAATTTATGAAGACTGATTGCGAATTGAATAGTATTATGAGACACTCTTGGAATGCCCCAGCGTGGCTGGGGCCAGTAGAGAAGGGATGACAAAGGGTAAAACACTGACTCCTGTTTGCCAGCAGACACATTAGGCCCTTCACTCAGATCTCAGCCGTCCGATGCCCTGCACTCTGGGCATACTGGTTGTGGGAAATGCCTGTGGTTTTCCCAGCCTGCCTCTCTCAGCAGGCTTTGAGTGCAAGTCATCTCAAAGGCTGTAAGAAACCAATAGGAAAGGGAGCAGTGAAAGGTAATAATCGAAACACAGTAGAAATAGCAGGGAACTGTTCATTGAAACAAGTTTTTGGCATGCTGTGAGTCATCTCACGGTGGATGCTACTTGCTCAGTCCTTACAGGAAGTGCTGCCTGTGTGGTTCTTGATTGGCTCAGCCTCCCATGCGGATAAAAGGAATTAGCCCAAGTAGCTTCTGTAGAGATAAGAGCAACCTTACTGACAGCATGTTTATTCTGGTGGAAGCCAGCAATTTCTGCCTCTTAAACCAAGAAGCTCTAGAAAATACATCAGTTTACTGAGCTTTTCAACCTTAACCCTCTGCCATCAAATTTCAGTCTATGTTTAGCTTGCCATGTACTCTCAAGCTCACTCTAGATATAATTTAAACCACGGTTTTAATTGTAATGTATCAAAGGGATATCCAGATGGAATCATTGTTACGTCTTCCTATTCTTTTTATTAATAAAAACTTTTAAGGTGATTAAGATTCTAAAATTTTAATAGAACAGAATGTTCTTGAGGACTACCTGTATAGGTGTGTGGGTGTGTGTTTTAATCTTGAATAAATGAGAAAAATAATTTCTAGTAGACATACTCCAAGTTCCACAGGAAAAATACTATGATGGTGACTATGCGGCACATGAACATGGCATGTGTGGATTTGGAATTCATTTGTCGGGGTTTAAATCATCAGCTGAGCATTCTCAAGCAAATTAGTTAATTTTTATGTTCTGTATTGGTCATCTGTAAATTGAGGATGACACTGTCGTCACAAGATTTTCATGAGGATTAAATGACATACATGGAAGAATGTAGTGCTGGCACGAAAAAGGACCCAAATATTATTTTCCAGTTTCTTCTCTAGGAGAAAATCCCTTATAGCCTGAATTTATTAGTAGGGGGTAGGAAAAAAAAGTGTAGCAATGAAAAATAACTGTGCACCACTGAGAAATAGCCTATCTGCCCATATCTATCTTATAGGATGAAACAGTTAAAATGAAAATATTTTCAGTTGAATACTTAGATTTATGTATGTGCTATCTTATAAAGTCTCAGAAATGCTGATGATTTTAAAAAATGTAATCAAGATTTGCTTTTCTCCACATTTGGGGTGGAATGCAAAATGGTCATACGTCTGAACTTGACTTAAATCCATGAATGAATTTTTAATCTTTTTATAAAACATGGGAACTATTTTAGTAAGATTGAAGAACGAAGTTAGCAGGAGGAATTGCAGCTGAGCTATCAGTCTCACAATGAGACATGACATTCTTCATTCATGAATCTGGTATCTAAGCTACCACCTTTTTCTGGCTTCCTTGTTAGTTCATTCATAAGAATTAGAATGGGAACATCTCATTTTATGCTTCCTGAGACATGCTGTGTAGAATGTTAATGATCAACAACAGAGATAGGACAACCTTTAAAACGGATGTTTTATTGCAACATTCAACATCTAGGGAAATGGGAATAAAACAACGGAAAGGAGATTTGGTTGTTGCAATTCCTTGGCCATTGGAAAAAAAATAAGATACTAAGAACTGAAGTGCGGTAAGTCAGGTCCATGACTCCTGATCACTCTTCTATTAGGACTTAGAAAACCATGCTTGCACACATGTCATATGTTAGTATTGCCACCTGCCCATCCACTGCTGCTCATGGCTTTGACCCTTTTCTCTATAATTTTGAGCCTTTAAAGTTCTCTCCTCAGCTACCCTGACTACTTCCACAAATGCTCTCCATCTTCATGAAAGAGAGTGGCTGTTAGCACCACGTTGTTCCCTTAACCATGAATGAGAGCACATTTCTGCTCTCTTACACCACCTCACACACCACTTCGGGTACCTGAGAGTGGAGGGGATATCTGGGATAGCCCATAATAAACTCCTTTATATTATCACTCAGATTTTCCTTTTTCATGTTTCCGAGAAAGATACACTCATTTGAATTAATTAGACAATAAATAATCCAGTGAAGAAGTACATCCTAACCTCACCTCATGGTGATTATTTTAAGCTTGTGGCTAGATTTTCTAAATGCACATTCATGCTTAAAGCAGACTGTAGACATCTCAAAATAAATGGAGACAAAACTCAGAATTACAGGAATATTTAAAATTAATATCCAGCCTCCTAAGGATCTTCTTTGTATTAAAGTCGTTTTTCTAAAAAAAATATAACTTTTTACTCATGACCAACTGTTTTGAGGACCTTTTAAACATAATGCTTTGAAATAATGCATACATGAGAGAAGGATTCAAAGGGCAAAGTAATATACAGCAGGTAGTAAATCTCACTCCTAATGTAGACTTCCAGTGCCATAGTCTGTCTCCTCGGATGAATCCAGTATTACCAGTTCTAATGTATCTCTGGAAAGATGCATGTGTATATCTGTGATAGGTAGAATAATGTCCCCATCTCAAAGATCTTCACATCCTCATCTCCAAATCTTAAAAATATATTGTTTTATATGGGAAATGGGACTTTGCAGATATAGTTAATTTAAGGATCATGAGACAGGGGTAGTAGTTTGGATTCTCTAGGTGTGTTCACTGTAATTACAAAAGTCCTTATCTTATAAGAGAGGGGTAGGAGGGCCAGAGTTGGAAAACCTTTGAAGATACTATGCTGCTGGCTTTAAAGATGGTGGAGGGGCCATGAGCCAAGAAATGCAGGTGGCCTCCAGAAGTTAGAAAAAATAAGGAAATTAGTTCTCGCCCATAACATACAGAAGGAACGTAATCCATCTAACACCTTGAGTTTAGCCCAGTTAGACCTTTTGGATTTCTGATCTCCAGAATATGTTTGTGTTGTTTTAAGTCACTAAGTTTGGGGCAATTTGTTACAGCAGCATTAGAAAACTTATAAATCTATTTATCTGTCTACTGATATGAAAATCACCATTTCTACCTTTTCCACAAGTAAGAACATATTATACTTATGCACCTTCCATTTTGCTTTATAATATAGTCATGTCAGCTCAAATAGATATACTCTTATTTTTTTAAGAGCTGTGTACGATTTTGATATAAGGTTGTAATACATTTATATAACCAGTTTTCTATTCTGTTGATGAATATTTATTTACCTTACTACCGTTCTTTTTTTCAACAAACAGTGCTGTATTTAATATCTGCATAATATTTAAACAATTAGTATTTTGCATTTAAAATTGAGACAGAATAGTGTAATATACCAATATATACCTATTATCTCACTTCAGTGTTTATTAACCCGTGGTCATTCCTGTTTCTTCTATCGCCCACTCCAACTTTAACTGTCATCTCTGGGTTACTTTGAAGATAATCTCAGACAGCATATCATTTCATCAATAAATATTTTGGTATATACCTCTAAACATAAAGAATCTTACTCTATAAGATTTTGTATACTTTTGAGCATATACCTGGGATATATTTTAGAAATAAAAAATGAACTCTGAGAAGAACTCTATTTTCAGTTTCAAAAATTATTTCAACCTGGGATATGCCAAATAATGCTCTTACTGCCACCTTACCCATTGCACCCCAATACACCATACTTATTTTGATAGATTTATCAAATAATTAACACAGGTTCACAGAAAGTGAGTCCAAAGGTTTCAAAATGAATTTCATGATATATTCACCTCACTGTTTAAATCCGTATAAATTTTAGGAAAAAAGTTAACTGTTCATTAAATTAATTACTCATTGTTTTGCAGGTGGTGAACAAGGCAGGGAGTGGTCATGGCATATCTTTTAAATATTGTTTCTTATGAACAAAACTTGGTTTTCCCAAAGATCATTTCCAATATCAGCAGGTTCAAGACCATTTGAAAATTCAAAATTAGAAAAGCTTAAGTGCTGAAACTTGTTAAATTGTTTTTTACTCCAGATTAGTATTGTGATTTTAAAAAAGTCTTGTCTACCTTAATAGCAAAGTTTTGTATAGGGTATCTTCAATCTGTGGTCGAGTTATCTAAGAGCAGGTTCTTGTCTCATTGCAGAAAGATTCAGAAACGAGAAAGCAAAGCATGAATCACTATGCTGTACACCAGAAATTAACACAACATTGCAAATTGACTATACTTCTATAAAAAAAAAGAAGAAAGCAAAGCAAAGATTTATTAAGTGATAGTATGCTTTCAAGGGGAGGGCGGACAGACCCAGGTGGATAGCTGCCCTAAGTATTTTTGGCAATCTGATTATGTGGAGTGTAAGAATGAATGGGCAGAATGTTTATTGGTGGGGAGGGGTTTGGGGTCATCCTTCCTGATCTTCATCCCAGCTCCACCTTCCCAAGGGGAGGAGGGATTTTTTTTATTGTTGT